CGGCTCCGGCCGCGCTCACGGGCGGCCGCAGAGGTGATCTCTGCGTGTGCCGAGCGATGCTTTCACAGCGCGTGGTAAAGGACCACCAGGTATTCATTCCCTTAACACCACTAGGCGTTTATAACAACTGGGTGATTTCATTGCACCTTTCTGTCAGGTTCTGAACAGCTTTCATTGAACCTGCCGGCCAAAGATGACATCAGCCTTGGAACACGGCTGTGTTAGGCAGTGCTATGGCAGAACACAGTTCTTTTTCTGCCCAAGTCAGCACAGAAAACATTTCAGCATACAGATGAAATGGAATGTTCTTAAGACTGTACTTCCTACCTCTCACACAACCTCTTGCAGCACTGGCCTTGTGCTGCTTTGTGTTTACACCACCTATTGCCACACTGGATCAAAGAAAGTAACAAAGCTGGGGCTGTAGACACAATCTGTAAATCTGTGCCAAATACCAGCCTCAGGAAAGAAATTCTACACGTGTTCTCAGAAATTGGCCAACCATTCTTATCATAGTGAGCCCTCACTCTATTCCCTTTGCTTTAGAGCAGACATTCATAAAGCCAAGAGCAGTGGCAGCAGGTGAATCACCCTGGTGGCCTGATGCATGTTAAATATAACACATTCCACATGGACCACAGTTCATCCAGTGTAATTCCAAGTTCCCGTGTCGCCGTGCAGGTGCTCATCATCCTTTGACCTGTGAAGAACTGTGGGCACTGCAGCTGCTGGTTTGTCACTCACATGCTCAACAGTGGTATTTCCAGCTGTAAAATTTAGTTTCAGACATCAGTTACTTTTGCTTTTAAACACCAAATAATTGTCACAGAATTCACTAAGTAGTTTTGACATAGGTCATCTAAAGTAAACTGAATTTTGCTTTTGATTATACAGTCTAAGCTGCAATAATTAAAAGAACTACCAAACAGGCAGAAATACTGTGCAAGTTACATAGTTAATAGTTTAAATCTGCAGCTAAAATGTTTTACAGAAATTTTAATGAGATTTTTTCCTAGAAAGTCACCAATTATTTTTTTTTTTTTACAAAAAAGGTTAAAATTTCTCAAAGCAAAAAGAAAACACTAAGTATGTCACTAATTTTAAGCTAAGTTAAGTAGCTCAAAGGTTCCTTGTTTTCTTGAGGTGCCAATTCAGAACATAAATACACTCCAGGAAATTAAATTATTCTTTGACAAATAGTTCATGTATCAAAGGGCATGACAGTCTGGAAACTCTCTCCCCTACAGATAACTTTCAACATAGGTCCCCACAACAAACCAACCACAAACCCAACAAACAAGGTGTCTGGAACTGATGCAGATAAGCCTGGCTGCTTCCCAGCCAGCACCAACAGCCTTTCCTTCTAAACACTGCACATGATGCAGTACTTGCTACCAGAGATGGAGAGGGAACAAAGAACAGGTGAGATAAGAGAGGAAAGAACAATTCAAGTAAACGTAGAGAACACTTCAAGTGTCAGTGAAGAAGTCAAGCCTTGTTCTTGGCTATGTAGACAGTGGAGTTACTTCAGACACTTTTGTGCTGCTAACACTGATTTCATTTGGCACCTTAAGGACTGGAGATAAACTTCAGTTATGACAGCAGCCAAAATTTTTCTATAAAGCTAGAATTTCAAGTCATCAACATTTCTGAGGGGCAAAATAAGTCACTGGCAAAGGAATCAAAACCTAAGTACTTACTGAAAACGTTGTCTACTGAATTTACCTTCATATGTGCTCTAACTGAAAACAACATTGAGGTATTCACGTTCTGAATAGACAACAATGAAAAAATAACAAAAAACTCACCAGAATTCCCTCTGTAGGCAATACCATGCTGGCCTAACAGATCTTGGAGTCTTTTTATTTCTTCAGAAAGTTGCTTGTATTCCTAAGAAAAAAAATACACTTAAAATGATTCTCCCACTCTCCAAAATCCTTCCCTAAAGTAGGAGTTTACAAAAACAATGGGTCTGTGCACAGCCGTTACAGCTTTTGACTTAAGAGATCTTAAACTGCTTATTCCAAGAACAAGGTGCAAATTTTAGAAAGAGGTACATTTCTATGGTGCCAGAACAGGATCAGCTTTTCCCAGGCCTGACAATAAAAATCAGGAGTGCTTCCTGTAACTATTATGAATTTGTCCTCTGAGTAGCATTTTATCATAGAGCAAAATTACATTCTTAAGTTTGCTTCAGGACTAGCCTGATTTGATTTTATTATTATCACAATGCTACAGTCTGGAAATCTGTCACATCCTCAACTCTTGAGCATGTTCTTGCTCTCAGCAGCTTCTGTTAACTTGCAGAGAGAGGGATTTTGAGATTCAAACCACATACCTCAAATCTCAAAGAAGCCCCAAGTTTTCCTTTTGTTTTGGTGTTTACATGAGTAAAGATAAAAGAATAACTATTTAAGATACTGTAGTTAGCAAAACAGCCAATTTATGTCAACTAAGCTAAAATGAAACCAGAAAAAGAAGCACAAATTAATAAATACTGTATTGTTAACTAGTAAAAAAACAACTGGGTGAATATTGCAGCTTCTATCAGACCAAAATGGTGACCTTTATCAAAGTATATTCAGCTTAGCTATCCATAGTTTATTTGGTTATATTCAGGAATTACTACCTGGTGTTTTGTCTTTGCTACATTTTAAAAATAAAACGACAACAGCAACTTCTTCTCTACATTATAACAAACGAAGTCCCTTCCATGCTGTTTTTTTGATGTTCAGCTCCCACTCTTTGAGGCTGAGCACACCTTTCCCTCTATTTTTCCCTATCCCAATTCTGTTGCAGTACTGTTCACAGACACAAAAGTACCTCAGAAATGGACACAGCACAGATCTTCCTGCCCTTTGCTTGGCTAACAGACAGTGCATTCTGACACAGGTCTGGGTAATTATCCACAGAGAGAAGGGTCAATATTCTCAAGGCTGGTTACACATTTATTTTCACTAGTAATTCCTCTTTCCAGAATGGTTATTCCCCAGAAGACATACCTACGAGGTGTTCAGAACCCAAGTGCATACACTAATCCCATCTGCTTCCTGGGCACTCATTTGTGCTGGTTTGTTTTTATCTTAAAGACTAGAATAAAGACAGCAAATCCCACTGGGCAGACAGTTAAAGCCAGAGAAGATAATCCCACGAACAGAGTATTTACGTAATGCTCTCACACTCATACTGTTACACAGTAAAAAGGTGGCAATTTCAGGTGGCATTGTAAGTATTAGGCTCTGTACCTTACTGCACTTTTCCACTGTTTCAAATTCCAGACTTGTTTTCTTATCGTGTTTCTCAACTTCCTTTTCTTCTGTTGCTTTTAGAAGTCCTGCTTCCTCAAAAATTGCTTTCAGCATTTTTTTGTAACCCTAACAAAAAAGTTTCCAAAAGACAACGGATCAATCCACTCAGCTCTGCTTGTAATTTGCACTGGCCATTCCAATTCCTTAAGCTTCCTTGCAGAAAACATTACAATTGCCAGTTCATATAGCAGTTATGGGATACAAAAATTACTATTTGCCAACTGCAGAATAAGTACAGCCACTCCAATAGGACAAACTGCAGAAGGCAGGTTTGGCTGTTTGACAGAAATTGGTTTTTTACCAAATAGAGTTGGAAAAAAATTAATGAACCTGGTCAGTTATTAGTTCATCATAGAGAAGCTGCTCTGCTTCATCCCACTTCCTCTGTAGTGCTTCAGTCAGAGTTGGATAAACTGAAAAATGGAAGTCAAACCATGTAAAAACCAACAGCACTGTCCTGCATTAGCTAATTCCTCCTCTAGCAGTATGCAAGCATCTATGTTTTATGACCTTGATGTTTCTATACAGTACAAGGTATCTCTACTGCTGTCAAGGGTTGCAGTAAGTGAAGTAAATGTAAAGTAAATAAATGAGCAGATATTACAGGGCTGATTCCTACAACCACTCCAAGAAAAAAAAGCAGAAAAAAAAGCAAATATAAAATCAATCACTGGGTCTCTCCTAGCAATGACAGTTTGAGAAATACATATGTGTTATAAACACAGGGATTTAAAGTACATTTCCTATTGCACCTTACATTTAACACTCATTTCTATCAGGATACAAACTTAAAGAACCTAAAAGCTTGCACTCTGAAGCTGCTCCATAAATTATTTTCCAAACCTTACCTAAAAGAGAGTGAGGATGGCACACGAGAGGAGTCTCAAATGTCAGAGAGTAAACACAAGTACTTGGCTCAGACACATAAGCCAATTTATTGCTCTTTCCACAAACAAGATGAACCTAAACATCAGTAAAAACAAAAATAAGCAAAAAACATCCAGGTAAAGCAGGACCAGCATTGATGACAGATTTGCTGTGTTGCAATGCTAGCAGGTGCATTTCTCCACATACTGTCATGGCAAAGGTTCCAGTGCTGTTTTAATTTTTCCACTGGTAAAGAATCATAGCAAACACATCATCAAATTATTTTAGCAAATGTGCAAATTGCTTCCTCTAATGGGAAATAATCCCCCCACCTACCACTGTTCCTTGCACTCCCAAGCACTGCATTTCCAGCAAGAATGGGAGTAAAAAGAAGGGTGAATAGGACACCCTGTAGAACCTCATCTGACATAAGCATCAATTCACTTAAGTTTTATTTCTAACCAATGTGCTAAGTAAAGAGCACAAGACATGCGGAGACTGCAGAAAACTGGTTTCACCCACCTCACTAGAACCCCATTTCAGGTGATTGCAGAGAGTGGGAAGGTTCTCCCTGAGCCTCCTTTCCTCCAGGCTGAGCACCCCCAGCTCCTTCAGCTGCTCCTCATCAGACTTGTGCTCCAGACCGTTCCTCAGCTCCATTCCCTTCACTGGACACCTCAACGTCTTTCTTGAAATGTCCTCAGTGCTTGCTTTAACACCTTACCTAACTTCTCAGCATGCTATCGTTAACTGCCTAATTCTTTTCCCTCCTTTTTCCTAGGTGTTCCTAGAACAATAGGCTGGCATCTTGCAATCCAGAAGCAGCTCTTTTTCTTCATTTTTCCTGACACAAATTGCAAAGCACTGTATGTTTCTACAGTAGTCATTATACCAGGATATTCTACTCTATCAAGAAAAAAAGAGTTTTAAGTAACCAATGGGAATACTTAAGTAAACTTCTTCAAAATCTTATCCTGATTCTAGCTTTCCTCCTCCATCCATTTATGTAGCTCCTACAACTCTATGTTTTCTATCACAGCATAAATGACTTCTTCAGGGCAGGAATGTTTCAGTTTGCAGTGTCACAAGTACGTGCAGCCATGCTGTCTGAATTAGCACAGTCTGGGTTACTATACCTTTGTCTGTCTGCTCTTCGTTTCACATGAGTCTCCTTCCCTCATCCACATTCCAACAAATGTGTTGTTGTCAATTTCCCACTCATGCCAGATTCTGAAAAAATGGGACAGCATTTTATTTCAGCTTACTGGAAAGAAAAAGGTGAACACCCGGGAAGAAAACCAGGAATACCCAAACACCATGTTCAATTAAAGTGCATCTACTTCATTTTTGTTGTCTTAGGCATTTCCAATTCTTACAGCACCTTACGAGCAGAGTCACATTTGTTACCCAGGCTGCTTTGGCTGGTATGACTTTGGAGAACACAGTTGTGGATCAACTCCTGGTTTGCAAACCATTTGCAGTTACAAATCTGTGTTTAAATCCAGTAAAATACAGCTATAGATCAATCCCACAACAAACCCCATGATGCTAAGTATCCTATGCAACTCAGATTGTCTGCAGGACTTTCAGTGCTGGTGAGAGCACCTACAAAAACGAGTCTACTCCTGCTAGTCCTAAAGCCAGTGACACCCTCAGCCAACTTACCTGCACACAGGAAAAAAACACACATCTATATACAAAATATTTAGAACAGCAATTTAGTTTATAACAAAATTTATTTTAGGTCTTATGATTTGGGGGTATTATGATCTGGGGTCTTTGAATACTTTGGGATACTTTTTTGGGGCCTACACTGAGTCTTGTATTGCCTTTTACTAAATGTTTAACATACCTGCTAGGCATAAAGCACTCCCTTCATCCTGTGATTTTTGTATTTAACACAAACTGAAAACAGTTAACAGACATGAAAAGTTTGTTAATAAGCTGTAGTTATACATTACTGAATTTTTCACATGAAATTCACACTTGCAGTTGGCACTGGTTATTAATCTGTCTCAGCTAAAATAGGAGGTTAGTATTTAGCAACAACAACAAATAAATCTGAGTTTCTCAAGACAGAGTATGTCTATGCATGATGCCTTGGGGACTGCAATGACCTGAGCTGACCAATAGAAGAATCTGAATTAAAACGACCTCCTTTTTGCAGTCTACAAAATGGCCTAACAACATGGGTAAAACTTTAAATGCCTCACCCTAAAATCCCACTGTAGGCATTCCATCGGAAAGTCTGCTCGTGCTGAGTGACATTATGGAAAGGACAAAACTCATACTTGTACCTTAAAAGAAAATAAAAGTAAAACAAGAAATATTTCAGAGTGAAATAAAAAAAACTAGTTAATTCCTAGTAAGGACATAGAAACAAACATCCAAATCTATTACTCACGTGGATTCCACAAAACTGAAACACTTGCCAGCAAGCCTAAAGAGATGTGCAGGGCCTAAAAACACCACAAACAGACATAACGGAGAAATAAAGGAGAAAGAATGTTTTGGTTAAATTTGAACAAGTTATTGTAGTGACAAAGCTGCAAGGAGCATGTGACAAATTTAGTTTTCTGCATGCACCAGGAAATTTTTATCTTCCACGGGAATGACTCTAAATTCACACTAGCTCTGCACTGCTTTGCATCATGGCCTTTAACATTCTGCATCCTCAATACTCAGCAAAACAGATAAACCTTTTTGCAACAGAAATAAGACACCTGTGTAAAAAGAAGTATTTGGAGACAAGTCCATAAAGGAATGATCAGTGCAGATCCTGCCCAGCTCTAACACTGAACTCTTGCTTGGCAGCTGTCTGTCCCCACAGCCACCCAAACTCCTCACGTTCTGAGCCCATTTGCTCAGAAAGTTGACAGCACTGCACGTTGAAGTTTCACTGAGATTCTCAAACTGGATATTCCTTTTTGCAGTTTGCCTTCATGGTCTGACCCAGGTAGTATTCAACAAGATAAACCTTTTCCTGTCTGACAGGTCAGCAGTTGCAATTCTGCTCTTGTAGAATTGATTTTTCCAGCCTTACTGTCCAAGGAATCCAAGACAGGTAACTTGTCATTCAGAAAAAGGCCAACATTTCTCACCTCTCTGCTGCAGGAGTATTTCAGTGTCCCTCATTTAAGGAAATTTTGATTGGAATTATTAATTATGTACGAGGAAAGAAGAAAAAAGATTACTAAGCATGTAAAATAAAACCCCATCCAAGTCCACACTTTCAGGATTGCCTAGGTACTTCTTCCAAAGATCCAGACAAGCAATCCTACAGATAAAGGTCATACCACTGGAATCATGCCCTCCAGAATGCCCTAACCACTGGGATGCAGGCAGGTTCTCCATCCCAAGTGGTTTTTCTGACTGTATGCTCCTGCACTTCACCCTACAGATAGGCTTGAGAGGGTCAACTCTGCCACATGAAATCAGAGCTGTGGTGATCAGGATGCTCTCTCCACAGATGAAAAAAAACAAATGTCAGTGTCCCTGAGGAATGCATTAAACTCATAGCTCCATTTCCTGGGCAGATGCTCTACAAGAGAAATCCTAGCAACTATTAACCCAACTGTCTTGTAGAAGAAAAGAACAAGTAAGGTTTCTGTGCAACACAAGGTTCCACTCCCAGATTTCTGTTCCACAGACACTCCCAAGTTTTGGCTACACGTGAGCTGCAACAACAAAGAAAGAAGGATTTCCAGCATACTGCCCTTAACTTTTTACCTGCTACTGTTGGCATATTTCTATTTGGCACTCTACTACTAATCCCATTTCTAATGACCTCACTTTTCATATGCCATACATGCAGGATTTATACACTTGTAATGTCTGTAAAACATTGCAAAAGACATTAAGCATAATCGTGTTCAATGTTGCCATACAAAATGCCATTATTGAATCTAAACAAGGTCTGAGTCTGTGCCCAGAGTCAGTAGAGAGACAAGAGTTACTCCTTTTTGTGTAGTCTTTGCCTTCACTGCTTATTTTATCTGTTCTCCTAGAATTTTCTTACACTCCTGTTATAGTTAAGTGGTGTATTTATACTGCAGCTCCCAGTGTGTGTGGAACTGAGCCCCTGTAACTAGTTCCAAGACTACTCTTAGGACCTTTCTTAAAACCATTTTTGGGTGTTAAGCACTATCAGAAGATGGGATGACTTTTATATGACAATCTCAAGGACTGTTTTAAGAAGGAAAGAGTCCTTACCATGAGTCAGACTGGCTCAAACAACACAGAGTAAAACATATGGCTAGCACTGTGACAAAACAGTCCAAACAGCACTGGGACACAGCACACCAACGACTAACCCTCCAGAAGCAGAAAAATGTATCTGTCCATACTTATTTTCCATGATGCTCATAAAACCACAAGCAAGAATTAGGTTTTGTCGGCATAAAGTCAAGGTAGACTACCTGCATTTCACACTGCTGCTGGGTGACGAAAATCACACCGAGAAAAGGGAAGGGTCGCGTGTACCTGATACCGCCGACGGAGACACCTTGGGCTGCAGCCGGTTCGTCTGCGGCAGGAACGGGTTGTTCAGCCTGGCAAGGGCAGCAGAGGTAAAGGTTTAAGGCAGCACAGTGACGGCAGCAGCGCCGAGTTCACCTGGACGGGAGGCACCTACCCGAACGTGTTCGGCTCCTCCACCACCTTCATCTTCCCCGCCCGGGCGCACACACCTGCGGGCACACAGCGGCTGGGC